CCGGGATTGTTCCACGAAGGGCCGTTTCCAGAAGTTTTTCGAGGAGGTATGAGCAGCCAACAGGGGGGGGGGGGGGATCGGGGCGCGGTTGTGGTGTTGTTGGTGTTTCGGTTTGTAGGCGGAGAGGAAAATATGTTAAGCTGATTAGGTGGTACTGTCGTGTGTGCTTTCGAGAGAGGGTTCGTGAACCCCTTTTTGAGGGAAGAATTTGAAGGGACATGCTCGAAGAAAAGGAATGCATGTATCTGGGTGACCGAAGCTGCTTGTGGGGCTCCGCGGGGCGCGAACTGAAACGTCACCCAATACTCTGCGGTCGTGCCCACCCACCCACCGTCTGTCTTCGCCGCCGCCGCCGCCGCCGCCATCCAGGGCCCCCCCACGATCGTGCCGCCGGCCATGTTCAAGGAGATGGAGCGCGCTGCGCAGAGGCTCACCCAGAATATCGGCTACCGCGGCGCGGGGACGGTGGAGTACCTCTACAACCCTGAGTCCAACAGCTTCTTCTTCCTCGAGCTCAACCCTCGACTTCAGGTTCGAATGACCAAAATGATTGTTTTGCAGAGAGTGCTGGCTGCGCCCTTCTCGCGTTAGGAACGGAAGGCAAGCAACGCAGGAGGGGTCGGTAGGGGGGGCCTCAGGGAGAGGAACCCTTCTGTGTGACCACTGATTTGAGATAGCTCCGTACATGGCAGAAATGCTGTGTTGGCCACCAATTTTGAAGGAGTGTCGTGCTTTTGCGCATCCCTCGCTCCTTGTTTGAATCAGCCGGGAAAGCGACAGCGAGTATTGTGTTCGTGCGGGAGTGAGTGCAGGGTTTTGAGTTCCTGTCTTTGGTATGTGGTTATAGTCGTCCAACCCTCGGTTTCATGCGTGTTTACCGATTTCTTGAATGGTGGGGCGTTCTGAACGGCACCATGCCTAGCCCTTCGTACTACCTCGAACGTCGGGTTCGTTTGTTTTCTGAAGTTTTCGTTTTTCTTTGGTTCCCTCCCTCGCTCCCTCCCTCTCTCTCTCTCCCTCATCCTCTTGTGTCTGTTCTCTTGATCATCTGGTCTCCGTTTTTCTTTGGTTCCCTCCGTCCTCCCCTGATCCCCTCTTCTGTCCTGCCCTGTAAAATGTTATTCTGGTATACTACATAGGTGGAGCACCCCGTGACGGAAGGGCTCTCGCTGGCGAACCTGCCTTCGATTCAGCTCCAGGTATATACCTACCGCGTCATTCGTCTGTAGTTGGGCGCGCATTGGTAAATACTATTTTTTTTCTTGCCGAGGGTGCAATCGTTGGCTGACCGGCATGCCCAAAGTTTTACCGGCATGTTCACGGCGTGCTGTCTGTCCTGAGTTGCGTTACACGCATCATTGGATCTCTTCCTTTCTACATGCAGAGCGGAGCTGCCTGATGCCCCACCCTGCTTCTTGGTAGCAGCCGCTCTGAGTTGTATGCAGTCCACGACGGTCACTTAAGCCTGTTCCTCTGTTGATGCTGTCTGCACTGCCCCCACCTGTGGTGGCATTTACTCGTGAGGTATGAAAAGCTCTGGGCGCCAGCCTCCCCCCCCCCCCCCCTAATATAAAAAA